GTTTTTTTTTTTTTAATTCCATATTATTCAAAGAGAAAACGAGAGAGATGATGATTCTGAGGCCACCCTATCCTAGCCATATTATTCACATATCGAGTTCCAACAGCAACAGTGTAGGGATGAGCACGAAATACTGTAAATTAAATGCTGAATGGCGGTTCATGCAGGGAAAGAACATATCAATATTCGCATATTCATTCAAAAACATGAAAATTCTTAATGGAGTACCCTCATTTTTTATTGAATTCCTAAAAAACAATATTTATAATGAATTTTAATAATTTTTTCGAATTTTTTTTAAGCTTTATTCCGACCGATTCACCCGATTCCCAATCTGGATCGCCGATTCGTTGATCCGGATCGGTTTTTTGGAAGCCCGATCCGGGTCACCGATCCGTTTTTTAAACCATTGCTTTTAACAACTGAAATTGGCTCTAAAATCAATTTAATTTGAAATTAAAAAATATTAAGATGAATACCCAAAAACCCATCTGGATTAGTAAATCGATGATCCGGATCGAAAATCGGCTGAATCAGTCCGATTAAACTTTAAAAAAAATTTCAAAAAAATTATTAAAATTCACTATAAATATTTTTTAAGAATCCAATAAGAAATAGGGGTACTACATTATTAACTTTTACTTTTTTCATCAATTTGCTAATATTGATATGTTTTTTCCCTATATGAACTTATGTTGACCATTAAATTTATATTACACAAAAAAAAAATCATAGAATTATCATAGATGAAGTACATAATCATACATAGACTAAAAAAATATGATACTTGTTGTATTACCTTTTATTTTATTTTTTTGGCAAGAAATATTTGTTGTGTTTTTTTTTTTGACAAGAAAACTAACAAAATAATAAAAAATACTTGTTGTATTAAGAAACACCTTTATTTTTTGACAAGAAATACTTGTTGTAGTACTCTTCTTTTTTTTGACAAAAAAAAATAAGAAAATAAGAATATATGCTTGTTGTATTAAAAAACACCTTTCATTTTTCTGACAAGAAAAATAAGAAGATATTGTATTACTTTTTCTTTTTACTTATCATATTACTTTTTTTTTTTGACAAGAAAAATAAGAAAATGATGGGTTTTTGGGGTGCCCGATCCTGAGCATCGATCTATTTTTTAATTATAATATAGTATTGTAACTATTAATTATAATATAATGTTATAATATTACATCAAAATAATTTAAAAATATTAGAAAAAACTTTCATATAATTTTAAAAAAAATTAATGTATATAAAAATAATTATATTGACATAAATTTAACATAATTATATTTAAGTTATTAACATAAACAAAGAACAATTTCATATAATTATGTTAATTTTTGTAAATTATTATTCTTGTGGACATCGACTACGCATAAAAGTAAACAGAATTGACAAAGGATCGCTTTAGTTGACTAAAAATCACCCTCACGGACCACGAACTTTATTAGATTAAGGTCACAATAATGTCGAACAACCCTATTAACTATGGCGACCCATTGCATGTAAGATAACAAATTTGTAAGAGGGTGTGGTTTATACTTTAATGATTTTGCATGCACGCTGATGGGAATTATCCCACATCGAAGCCTTAAGGAAGAACTGTCTGGTATAAAGTTTGTGGCAAGTGCATGTTTATGTGAGTGCTTGTACAGGTTTATGACATGAAACTCATAGTATTGTGCTAACATGCGGTTGACAACGCATGCAACAAATGTGCCCCCCAATTTTTAAAAAAATTTCAGAGCACAACGCATACAACAAATGTGCCCCTCAAGTTTTTAAAAATTTTTAGAGCTTACCCCTATCAGTTGAAATCTTGTCAATGCACATAACAAATGTGCC